GATGTTGCCGGAGCAGCAGGCCAGTTGAACTGCCCTTCGAAAAATTCTGCCCATCGTCCAAGACGTCGATGGATGTTAGTGATTGGCATCCCATCATCCTCGCAGATTGTTTCACTCACACCAGACTTCTTGCTGCCAGTGGCTCGGATGAGCTGGAAGAGCTTCCGGTAGTTACCAGATGCAGCTGCTGCTTCCAGCTCATTAGCACGCATCGACCACCAGGCTTCTCGGTCCTTACGCAAGCTTTGCCCAATTTCCTTACGTAACATCCTTCGTTTATGGTCAAACTCACGGTCACCCGGAGTAGACCGACGGGCTTCAATGAGTTGTAAGGAACCAGAAGAAACCCAGTGCTTAAAGCGGGACGTTTCGCAAACCCACAACTGACTGTTCCCGCCATTTTCATGGCGTCATGCAATTGCAACCAATGCTCATCTATACTTTTCGGTGGAGTGGTAGCTAGCCTAGAGGCTAGCTCGGTTCGATACTTACTTGCAACAGAAGTTGCAACCAGCTTGCTAACATCAATCCGTTGATGGCGTCACTTCGTTGTCCACTGAAAAGTAAGGCAAGATTGGCGCAGACCAAGGCATGGTCAGAGTCCAGATAGGTACTCCAAAAGGAGCGGCAGTCTTGTACACAACCACGCCAGCGGTAGCTGATCGCGATGTGATCAATCTGAGTCCAGGCTTGAGATGCAGAGGGAGGACGCCAGGTGGCACATCGGCGATGACTGTGCCGAAAGTTAGTGCTAGCCAGAAACAGGTTGTGGTCTGTGCAAAGTTGCAGTAGACGGTCCCCGTTATCTGACCTGCGACCAACGAGTCCCCATCGGCCACCTAAACGACTCTCTTCTGTGCCTAGACGCCCGACCTGAGCATTCAAGTCTCCGGCTAGTACTACAATATCTGTCGAACGCACTTTCTGGAGAAGAACAGATAACTGGTGGTAAAACTCATCCTTGATTGCATCCGGGCTGCAATCTGTCGGGGCATAGGCGGAGATGACGAAAAGACATCGTTTCTCACGCCGATTTCTTCTCACTTTGATGGAACTTTCTAATCTAACAGCACATAACCGACTGTTAATGGGGATCCAATCGACTAGTGCTGCCTCAGCTCTAGCGCTTAGTGCGACACCAACGCCAGCAAGACCAGACGAAGATGCCACAGGGTCCCCGGATAAGCGCACGTAAAACAAGCTTTTCGAAGCGACAGATGGAGATCGAATTTGTAGTACTTCGCCAGAGTCTTGAATACGGGTCTCGGATAGACAACACACATCGATATTAAGACTTTCCAAAGACATAGCCAGCCCTATCTGTTGTCCGACCTGCATAAATGTGCGAACGTTGAAGGCAGCCAGTTTGAATGGTGCACGTGGTTTCAGAAAAACTGCTTCAGTCCTCGTATTCGGTGGTAACATACAATTTTCAACCGGACAGTGACTCGAGAACGTTTAGATACAGTCGAATTTCCACCAAAGACGAGCCGCTGTATAAGTATAAAAGAGGGTGAATAATGTGGAAAATAATAATAATAATGACAATAATAGTAATAATAATAATAGTAATAATAATGACAATAATTGTAATGATAATAATTTGAATCAATTGATTGTTTTTCAAAGCGAGAAAAGTAATTTCCATAGACATAAAGTGTTCATCATTTGTGTGTGGGCTGTGATACTGCCCGGGTGCCCAAACCGAAGCAGGTGGTTATCTTAGGGGGCCACACCCCGAGCCTTTGACCTAAAGGTCTAACCCACAAGGCAGTGGAGCATCGTAAGGAGATGCAGTCCCATGGTAGCCGGTGACCAACGATTGGTTCATACGCCATTTGTTCCCGCAGGATACTGGAGCCCATGTGCACCATTGGTTTGGGATCCGGTTAAAGCGCCGGACATTCGCTTTTCGTCCTCTCATTTTCGTAGACAACAGCCCCCCCACGAGAAGGCAATGAGTAGGACTTCCCTGGCAGAGGCTGTATACGCGTGGCCGTGTGAGAGTATTTCGAGAGGGAGAGCAGACTCTCCCCACTCGGCCGTACCAGGGCATTCGGGGGCCCTACGCGAAATAGATGGGAGTGGTGTGACGAACCAGATAACTTCGAAGTCACGCCTCGCAGTAAGCACCTAACATGAATTAACCTTTCGTCCTAGCAAGGCACTATGGCTGCGTTAAAGACCGTAAAACACAAAAAGGGTTATTAGAGAAATGTATCACTTAAATTAATTACGAGGAAGAAGTTGCGATCATCACAGTATGGACCAGTCGTTGGGGTGCAATTAATTGCTGCGTGTTGGTTTTCGTTGACTTTGATAAGAGTCAGTGAACAGTTCGACGTCCAGTGAGCCGTCTGATTCGGTTAGGGTCCTGCACATGTACATATGCAATTAAAACCAGCAGAACTCTATAAAGGACCTATTTAACATACATGAACGTGGGCAAAACCTATATCTCCGTGTGAGAAATTGAAATTGTAAAAAGGGTAACAAGTGGCTATTGACTCGCCAAAAGTCTCTAACACACATGTGTACATCTATTTGATGTCATCCGGCGAACAGTAATTGAGTATCCTTCGTAGACGATTGTTAATAGTATCCGGTCAATGTATATTGAGTACCTTTCGCAGAAATTTATTTATAAATATTTGTACAGCTTTGATTATGGTAGTTCTCTACGTTTCCGTCCCGTATAGTAGAACTATTTTGATATTTGCATCGAGAATAATGACAGTGATGTTGACTGACAGTTGTTTTGAGTTTTCATGTGTTGTCAAACTGTAGGAATGCGGTCCCTGCTTTGCCAATTCGTACTCAAATATTTACATTAGATTCTCCTTGTTTAACAATGATGTAGACCAGGTACGTGAAAGTCACCATTTATTCCAGTGCTTCTCCATCAAGTATGATTGGGTTCGTTGTTGTTCTCCGTGTTGTGTCTGAGGATCTTACGTTTTCCCCTGTGTATGTTCAGGCCTACTGATGCGGAGGTTGCTGCAGCTACACCGATTGTCTTCACATGCATTTGGTCATATGCATGGAATAGAACGGCCAGGTCATCTGTGAAGTCAAAATCGTCTAGTTGCATCCAAGTTGTCCATTGTGTTTCGAACCCCCCCACACACATGTGAATGTCTTCATAATTCAGATAATCAATAGAGGAAAAAGGAAGAGGGAGGGTAAACACCCATATCTCACTCCGGTTCTCGATTCGAATGCGTCTGTCAGCTGTCCTCCATATCCGACGTTGCAGTGTAGTCCGTCGTATGAATTCTGGATCGTGTTGACGATTTTCTCAACTACTCTAGTGTCCAAGAAGCCTCTTTAAGGTTCTCTTATCCACAGGGCCAAAAGCTTCATCATAGTCAAGAAAGTGGATATATAGTAACGAGTTCCATTTAATTGACTGCTCAGCAACGATTCGTAATGTGACGATTTAGTCGATTCAAGACCTATCGTTATGGAATCCAGACTGTTACTTTCGAAGTTGGGTGTCCACTGAATCTTACATTCGGTTCAGGGACATATGTATTGACTTTTGAAGAACCTCGGCTTTCAACATGAGGCATCACAATTCTCCTAATCAAACACCTTTGAGTTCCCAGGGCAGATTTGAAATTATTCTTGTTTCTGGGAATTTACTGATGGAGTGATGAACGAAGAATGTTGGTAAAATCAGACAGTTATTCAAGGAAACACTTACAGAAGTCTTCACGACGATCGTCCAGCAGTGTTAGAAATTAGCGATCCCAAGATCCAATATATGAGGTATGATCTTGGAAACAGAGTACTTTGGGTTCATGTCCCAGCTATGACAAATCCTATGCAACCCAGTGCACTTGACCTACAGCACTTCCAAGGGTTAGAAGCAAGTTTCCGACTATGTCAACTTACTGAACATTATAGAAATCCACTATTAGTTCTTAACATTTGGATTACATCACTCGTAAATGACAATACCACTTGGACAATTAGGTGAAAATGAAGATTAATTAACTGCTTCTAAAGTGATTCCTGAGGTTTACTCTTTAATTTGAACACGAGGAAGAAACTTTGCATTAGCTTATTACAAGCCATACCCTTCAGTCAATTATTTATTTAAGCACATAAAGATCGGTACGAGGAGACACCAAAGAGGTATGTGTTACATAAATAATTCGATTCCCAAGGCAGTGCATCAACATTAGGAGATGCAGTCCCGTGGTAGCCGGCGACCAAAAATAGGTTCATACACCACTTGCTCCCTTAAAATCCTTAAGTCAATGTGCAGGATTGGTTTGGAAGGTTTTCCAACTCCTACATACTCGCCAACCAAGGTAAATCGCCGGACACTCGCTTCTGGCCCTCCCAATTTCGTAAACAAAAGTCCTATCATAAAGGGAGTGAGTAGGACTTCCCTGGCAGTCAACAGAAGCAGTAAGACAAAGAATGGAAAACGGTATATTCCCAACTTGTTATGATTTCACACCGCCATTTAACGGGACTGCCAACAAATGACCGTCCATTGAGATGAGGTTTGGATAAACCTATTCAAACTTTGCACTGGATAATACACCAACTTCCGAGAAGGGCTGGTCAGGTCTATAAATGTACCCATGGTAAAGCATGGCAATTCTTTGTATCGTTTAAGACCACACGTGAACTCAGTGATATTTCATTTGACATCTTCGCTAAAAACACATCCATTTTCAAAATGTAATATTAGTAGTTAATGTCTTATAGTATGAGAGGGTATCTTCTTCGGTAATTATCTCACTAATAAGTTACTAACTATGCAGGTGCTATTGTTATAACCCTTTTTAGTTTATGAAAAGTGCATTGTAGTGTCTCTAGTTAGTACTTGCTAATCAATAACTCAAGCGCAAACCAAAAAGTGGAGAAGCTGATTCGAATAATTTATTATACACGATGATGACTAAAGACAATTAAAATCCTTCATAAAGAAACCTATAATTTTGCAGTTTGAAGAAAGAAATGAGGGGTGAGAGCTTTCTGATTCAATTGGAAGCTTTTGCTTTTAATGCACTAATTTTTTGAACAACTGGTTGAGTAGCTTGAAGTATATCTTCTGGTAACTACAACGAAAAAGACAGAAATCAATTTTTTTTAGATTAACCACAGAAAACAGAGATAGTCAACAGTTGCACAAAGTAAGACCTGTTACTCAAGATTAAAACCCGTAATTTCAGCCAGAAACTACTGCTAAGCGATTAAAAAGGAATAGTAACTTCTCAGAGTATGAGTAAAAATGCTGCGACATTTACTTAGACCGATTTATTTTGGAAAGTGCCAGAATTTGTTTCCATAAATTAACGACCGAAATCACTGCAGCTGAACGAATAATAGTTCATTTAGAGTACTTTCGTATTTAACGAATGAAATAAGTCAAGGTGTCAGATAAATTATTGGAAAAGTTTGTCTAACCAGTTACCAAACAAAAAATACCTCTGAACGACTGGATCTACAGCAATCAATAAATCGTGATGGAAGCTTATATTACAAAAATGAGTGCTACTTCCAAACTAAGTTTTTTTTAAACTCAGACAAATGAAGCATAAAACCAGAACTTACATTTTCGCTCACTTCCAAACGATGATGTAAAACTTGGAGAGTGGGTTGTATACAAACTTGAAGAAGATCCATATTGAACGGTGGTGATACTACTGTACGAATTAACTGGTATAAGTTGTCAACGTTTGTCGACAAAGCTGAAATTATATAAAAAAAACATCAGGACTATATCAAAGGTACAAATAATGTACTATTTTAAACAGCATGATTTCAAGTCAGTGAAATCGTCTATTGAATAACGACTCAAGTTGAACTGTTGACACCGAAGTAACGACAACGATATTAATGTATTCATTTAAAAGAATCTATCTTCGGATGACGGATGGAAAATGAGATCGTAATAATCGCTTGAATATTATTACTATTAGTCAAGTGCTATCGGCTATATACCGATTTCTGGGATTATTCCACACAACTGCATAGAATTAGCCGATACTAATTGTAGACATAGATGTGATGTATGGTGAATTAAAGTAGGGTGGTCACTGATGATGCGGCAGACAGATATCTATGTATGATGATCTCAATCTACTTAATAGCCTGTTGATCGACTATTCACTTTAGTGATAATAAAATTTCGATGACTGGTTGTATTATATACACCGTAACGAACAGCATATATTTTAGTCCTACCGTTCGACCAAAATGTAATGATGAAAGCTGGAGAAGTAATTTTTTGAAATCAATCACTTGTAGAAACTCATGAATATGTTCAATCTATGTTAATTACGATTTTACTGAATTTGTTAAAATATGTACAAAGTAACGTAACAACGACAAAAAGGGATTGAGTTTACCGCGAATTCAGCGACAAACCACAACAAACATAATTAGAAACAGTACCTGCATTGCGGAGACAATGATCCACAAAACCAGGAATATGTTGACAATCAACAGATTTTAGATACTCCACCGAAGGCAGAAATTCAGATTTCGTCAATGAATTTCGTGGATTGCCAACCAAGAAAGTAAACGGAACTATTTTGTTATTCTAAATCAGAAGTAACATTGAAGACAAATTAATATTCATTGTTAAAATGATCATGACACCACACGAATTCAGTGTACAAGGTGTCTAGCACATTGTGTTAAGGTAAAAAAACTTATTGGTACTGTTGGAATAGGAAACCATTACAATATTCGAAAGTATAATCATTCGGTTTCTTATTGCTCCTGTAGTTTTTTTGTTAGGATGACAGGTCAGTAACATTACTCCTATATACATATATCACAACAATTGATATGTATTCCGCAAAAGTTTGTAGTACCAAGAAATGAATAAGATAATACATGGAGTTGAATTTGACATGCAACGCATAATTCTTAACAAGTCAAGCATGTCTAGAGGGGTGATAATCTCAATATATCTTTTTTTGTTATGTGGTACAATAACTAAGGAGAGGATTGCTAGTATAATATCTAATTAAAGAACGGTATCGAATAAGAAAATTCTCAGGTGGATAAACTCTAACTGAGCTATCATTAAGTGATGGAAAGATTACTTAACACAATAATGTCTTCAAGTAACTAGAACAAAATATATCACATTGATTAACTATCGACGTACTTAATGGCCATTCATGACAAAATATTTTGTACAGTAACTCACATTCGCAAACTACGTAGACATACCATTCTAAGGTATTAACAAACGTGTTTACTCAAAGAACCTGCTAGTTGTGTATAAGTGTTTTAGCGAGCAGAATTTAAAACTGATTGGTTTTCGCTTAGCCATATCTGGCTATATATAGATTCCAACATTAATGTAACTTTGTTGCCAGTAACTAACTGCCTACAAAACAAAGTTAACCCACTCCCTACTTATCTTTCGTCATAAAAAGTATAACGATGATTACCTCCAACAAAGTAGAAACTAAGTCACTCAGCCCACGATTAACCAAAACTCCAGCCAACTGTAAATTGACAGAATTGAGACCAAGTTTGGAAAGCCTTTTTGCGATATCAATCACTGATAAAAAATTAAAAGGAAATACGATATGAATATTTTTTAACAGCAATAAATATAACTAGTTCTGGCAAATTAAAAAAACATGACTTTTCCAAAGATAATGACATATATGAATGTAAAATAAATGATACTGGCATGTACGTTGTTGGTCAGAGTGATAGACTTACCAATGAAGTTTAGCGAAGGACGACAAAGGTCAACAACATCAATTTCGAAATGTGTAGTAAAAACATGCTTTTCAGCTTCAGATTTATTTCCCGATATCAGATAAAGATGCCTACAGATACACGGCTAAACCAACCTTATATTAAAGAAGTTAAGAATAGCTATGAATAGAAAGCCTTATGGTATGTATAAAATATTAGATTCCCCTCTTAACCATAATCACAGTTTACAAGCCTATTTAGTAGATATATATATTTTTTCGCTCATATGTATACAAATATGATCCACATTCACGTTATTTTATTCTTATGATTTTCACAAATTTTTTATCTACTACTCACGCATCGCTCTTTCTAAAAGTAATACAAATAATTTGTTCACCTTACTAAATACATATTTAGCATGCATATGACCAAATGCATGTGAAGACAATCGGTGTAGCTGCAGCAACCTCCGCATCAGTAGGCCTGAACATACACAGGGGAAAACGTAAGATCCTCAGACACAACACGGAGAACAACAACGAACCCAATCATACTTGATGGAGAAGCACTGGAATAAATGGTGACTTTCACGTACCTGGTCTACATCATTGTTAAACAAGGAGAATCTAATGTAAATATTTGAGTACGAATTGGCAAAGCAGGGACCGCATTCCTACAGTTTGACAACACATGAAACTCAAAACAACTGTCAGCCAACATCACTGTGACCAACAATTGGTTCATACGCCATTTGTTCGCGCAGGATACTGGGTGCCATGTGGAATCCGGTTAAAGCGCCGGACATTAGCTTTTCGTCCTCTCATTTTCGTAAACAACACCCGCGCCACGAGAAGCCAGTGAGTAGAACTTCCCTGGCAGAGGCTACATACGCATGGCCATGTGAGAGCATTTCGAGAGGGAGAGAGGACTCTCCTCACTCTCGGCCGTACCAGGGCATTTGGGGAGAACAGAACATTATAACAGTGAGTATAAATTTTATAATCGACCATAAAATATTGTGACTAATTGAATTTACAAGTTAAAATAATTAATTAATATATAACATACAGTCTGAAATATGTTCAGTTGGCCAACATCTGAAAAGTGTATCTAAGTGTGGACCCCTCATTGTAGAGTATAAATCTTTAGGTGAAAGATTTTGTAAATTTTGAATCGATTGTTTCACAATTTCTGAAGATGATTCTTTTTCCGTATCATTTTCTAAGGATAACCTGTACATGAAAAATAACTATATTTATTAAATCAATAAAAGAAACAAAGACAACTTAAACGAATAAGGACAATCCAGCGTCTATGTTGATTGAACACAAAATAAAGATTCTAATATAAAGATACTGTTAAATTTTACGCATTTATTGAATTACGCTTATATGATGATGAATTAGTTAGGCATTAATTTAATTGAATCAAAAATGACTTATTGTTGCTAGTTATTCATTTAGTCGTTTATTGTTAAATGATTTTTAATCATGATTATCTGTGTTAATATAAGAAACTTATTCTACTCAGCTTTTGTCTTCCAGTATCAGTTCGATTAGGAATCCAACTTAATTAACTAATCTCGTGAGCACTCAATACTTGGACACTTTGTATTGCCCTGTCAATATAATTTTAAATAACAAATCATAAAAGCCTCATTCGTGACAAAATATGTATTATCTGACCACTGTTTCAGAAAATCACGTCAATAGAGGTTGACGCCTGACAACAATGCAAGCATGTTCGGGATGCGACTTACCCCTTCGAAATGAAAAATTTTGCTTCAGGATTGGATTGCATCGACCCCAAAACAAATGATAGAGATTGAAGTTGGTGAGCGTGTCGACCACTTCACTTATCTCGGAAGTCTCATCAGCCCTTGTGGTCTGGTGTGTGACGAAATCTCAGCACGGATACAGAAGGCTCGACTAGCTCTTGCCAACGTGCGTTATTTATGGTGTACGCGAGATTCAAACCAAAGGAAGGGTTTGCCGAGCAGCAATTCGTTCCGTGCAAATTTGTGGCAGTGAAACGTGGCCGGTAAGAGTAGAGGATATTCGTAGGTTACTAGTATTTGATCATAGGTGTCTCCGAAACATTGCTCGTATATTCTGGGACCACCGAGTAAGTAACACAGTTGTTAGGAAACGGGTACTGGGTAAGGATGGCAACTCGATTGATGAAGTGGTGAAACTTCATCAGTTGAGATGGCTGGGACATGTGTTACGTATGCCCAACCACCGACTACCCGATGTGCGATGTTTTCTGGTGTAAGAGTAGGTTGGAAGAAAGCTGGCAGGCGGCCAGACCAAAACATGACATAAATCCATGAAGTCACTGGCAGGTAGATTAAGCCATGTTTATTTATTTATTTGAACACATAAACATGGGTATAAGGAGGCAACAAACAGATACGCGCTACATAAACCATTCGATTGGTGTGAGGACAGGAATACTGCCCAGGTGCTCAAACCAAAGCACGTTGTTTTTTAAGGGGATCACACCCGAAGCCTTTGACCTAGAGGTCTGATCCACAAGGCAGTGAGGTAACATCAGGAGATACAGTTCCATGGTAACCGGTGACCAATAATTGGTTCACATGCCATTTGTTCCTGCAGGATACTGAAACCCATGTGCACCGTTGGTTTTGGAATCAGGGTTTTCCAACTCTCCTAGGTTAAATTCTCGTGTCCACCGATATTGTTAAACCGCCGGATATTCGCTTTTCATCCTCTCAATTTCGTACACAACATCCCTATCACGAGAAGGCAGTAATTAGGACTTCCGTGTCGATGGTTGTATGTACGTGGTCATGTGAGAGCATTTCGTGAGGGAGGGCTGACTCTCAACACTCTCGGCCGTACCAAGGTATTTGGGGGATCCGAAAGACGATAGCAACTGATGGTTAAAGATCTTGAATGACACGGCTGAAAATCATTTGCAATGGCGCAGGTGCATCCATTATTTGTGCTGTTCAAAATTCTTCTGAATTATTCATGTCCTTTTTTTCTATTTTCTAATTTACATCACTGGATTATACTCGTTGAATAACATCTACAAACCCTAATCTCTTCGATTACTGCTTATACTCTTACTACCTTTACCATTACCGGATTTGAGTCGAGAATTGTTTCTGTGATGTGGCAAGTCGAAGTGATGTACGCACGTACGTACGGAGTTTTACGTTGTTACTGACTAATCAAGAAGTCGACGACTTTAAAAGTATTTATACGAATAATATTTGATAACATATTATTCTGTAATGAAAACAACCACACTATGAAATTAAATAATTTTTTGTCTTTATAAAATCGTATACTTGTTGAACAAGTAAAGTGGAGGGAATTTTTAATTACATTACAATGAAAGAGGAAATTTCTAATTATTTTCTTTTCTTTCAATAAAATATACTCACTTTATTATATGTGCAAGTGATTTCATTGGTTCACGTTGTTTTCTTTGTTCTTCAGGCAAAAATTGTAACACACGTTCAACCAGATCTTTTGATCCAAGATTTACGAGATAGCTCAATAAAATGAATTTCTCTTGAAAGTAACAAAATAATATAGATTAGCAATGATTATTTTATAGAATATTAAAATAAAAGTTTACGAAATATATACATATCTAAAAACAATTGACAAACATACTTTGTAAACTCCATAAAGCTTCAATAGATTTTAATTCCGTTTCCAATTTTTTAGGATCATCTTTTAGTGCTCTATAATAAGGGATAATGAAATCAAGCAAGTTTTAGTAGGGAAATAAAAGGTAATATTGACGAGAAAAACAGTAATCTTATCATGTGACAACATATACATACTGACTAGATCATAATTCATTTCAGGCACTACGCTGACTACAAATGGTTGACTAACATTACATTCAATTGAAAGCATTACATTAGATGTCAACCCAGAAGTAAAAGAAACCAATTAGTTAGAAAAATCAAACAATAACAAATTAATAATCGCATAATACTCTTACTTAACAAGTGATTCGGCGGCAATTGGTACTGATTCTTCAGAAGGCAACTTCTGTAAAAACATTAAAGTAATTATGAACAACGTGTAATATAAACAAGACTAAAACACATACACAATAATACACACTATCAGAAAGCGTAAAGAACATAGTGTTCAATAAACGCAGCACACAAGTTTGTGCTACAATCAACGCTTTATTTATGAGAAATTGTAACTATGTATTTCATTCTATAAAAATATATATCATGTACACAACATACCATCTGATTAGCTAATGAATCTTCATTTTTGTTTCTTCTGACTGCTTTATATTAGAAAAAGTGAAAAAGGAAATGTATATTAATATATTCCTACAATATTCATAATGAATCACATGTTTACATAATAGCTGTGTCAATGACTATCATTAAAAATTTTCAATATGTCAAATTCTCGAAAGATGAGTAAAACAAACGAAACACGTATATGAGGAAATTACCAACCCAATATAAACCATACATATTTGGTGAAAAACGATCATAACCGTGGTTGCGACAATTACATAATGCTCAGGCATTCACATTGTGATAATCTAGTCAAGCGATATTGGGTGAAACACTCTCACATTTAGGGTTCACGATACGAAGTACGTAGGTAAAGAATAATACAAGTCCAAGCAGCAATTTGCCCACGAATGCTTTGGTACAGCCGAGAGTGTTGAGAGTCAGCCCTCCCTCACGAAATGCTCTCACATGACCACGTACATACAACCATCGACACGGAAGTCCTAATTACTGCCTTCTCGTGATAGGGATGTTGTGTACGAAATTGAGAGGATGAAAAGCGAATATCCGGCGGTTTAACAATATCGGTGGACACGAGAATTTAACCTAGGAGAGTTGGAAAACCCTGATTCCAAAACCAACGGTGCACATGGGTTTCAGTATCCTGCAGGAACAAATGGCATGTGAACCAATTATTGGTCACCGGTTACCATGGAACTGTATCTCCTGATGTTACCTCACTGCCTTGTGGATCAGACCTCTAGGTCAAAGGCTTCGGGTGTCGCCCCCTAATAAAACAGCCTGCTTGAGTTTGAGCACCCGAGTACTACCACAGTACTCATAAAAATCAAATGAGATTTGTGTGGCGGACATGTATCTGGTGCCTCCTTGTACCAAAATATGTGTTCAAATAAAAAACAGCAATTTATGGTTGCAGTCTGAAGCAGTATTGCTGACTTAACTGAGGTGTGACGGCAGTAAAGTATTTACTCCAGACATCCTGTATCATACTTTTTCAAAACAAGAGATGGGATTTACAAATGATCGATTGTAATTGTATGAAATCTAACCTTGTCCCATGAATATCCGATAACAGTGGGGAAATCTTTCAAATATTTTAGCACCGTACAAAAAAGCGAGGGTGTAACGGTTTACGAAGTTTTGTAAGAGACCGCTTGGAGACTACCTCGAACAAACTATTGGGCCTTATAACAATTAAAATGCATAGTCAAGGCGTAGACCAGTAAAATCTCTCTTCTTCTGAAACTTGAGTTTTTAAAATTGCTTTGTACTGATCAATTAAAAAGATCTAATCATTAAGCTTAAATCATATTTCTGCCAGAGACCGAAATGTATGACGCAAGGTGAAGTTTTGTTTTTAGAATATACTTTTTCTAAAACATTCATTCCTTTGTGACAAGGTAACATTACTTCAGATGTTGGGTGTTTGAGACAAACAACTTATTGCAGTCAAACAATAAAGTCAGCCATACAACAGCCCCTACGAACCATGAGTTCGCTGAGTTTAGTCTTAGTGTTCTCCAACCGACTTGATTGGGATGACAGGAAAAACCCAGATGATCCCAAAGGACAATCACATTTAGCGTAACGAAGATAGTCAGGATACCAAAAATCACAACGACTGTTAGCGTGCTATAATTATGACGATCATTTAACATTTGGAAAAGGGTGCAGATATGGTTGATGCTTCTTGAAACAGAACAATAACAGAACTACCTCCACCCGATTCAGCCTTTCTCGGTTTTCCAACAATCTGAATAGTGTTATGGAAGTCAATACCTTTAACAATTACCGTTACGTTATTTTGTCTTAATGTGGTACGGAAACTTGAAATGATGCTCTGTTTTTTTGTGACTAATCGATAAAAATAACTAATATAATCATGGGGAAAAGGCTACCGGTAATGTCGATGTGATAACTCACGCTAATGCACTTGAAAAATGAACGAAGTGACAATCACGAAACCGATAGACACTATTTTCAAACTGTTTATAGTACCATATCTCCAGCGACAGCGGTGCAAAGAAACAGGGAAATTCGCTTAATACACAAAAACGGTATAACAGCTCGACATTGATGAGTATTACCAAAAACGTTCTAATCTTCTTTCAAAATCAGTAACCAATGATAGTACAATCCACACAGAAAACCAAGTATATAAATCGAACAATACACCTTACAAGAATGGTCTTTAACTGATTTTGTGCTTACCATTGCTCGTTTGCCCGCCAAAAAGCACAACGCTAAGATCTGAAAACCTGAAATTGAAGAGCATAATGGAAAAAGGAAGCATAAGTAAGAAAAGTAAGGACATGTGAATTAATTGTCTGACATGAGGGCTCAGAGAATAACCCCCTTATGAAAACCAAATGCTTCGAGTTTAGTACCCGGGTATAATTTTTACCTATAAATAAAGTGATGATGTTAAAAAGGAGCGTGGATTATTGATGTCTAACTAACTTTACAGACTTTGATTGGATTTGAAAAACGTGAAACAATTATCAAACTTACGAAGATAGTTCCACAGATTGATCAGAAGAAAGTTTCGCCATAATGTGCTTGAATAATAGAAAAAAGAAAATGCGATCATGAAACACATATTCAAACAAAAATGCAATGTACTTTAGGATAATGATCACATCCTCAAACTTCACAGATCAAATGTCAACAATCCTAGTGTTTCACACAAATAAAAACAGAAAATTGATTTTAACTAATGCAAATACTAACGGTTTCAAAAAGTGACATATTACAAGGATATGCATATAATTAATGTTATTCATGTGCGTGAAACGTACCCTTGGTACACCGGCATCTTTCAATCCTGATAATATCCAATCACCATAACCAAACGTGACATTCTGTGAGAAAAAAGTGGCAAATGAATACAAAAAAATACTAAGTAATAACGCAGGTGGATGTCTTAGGGTCAAGAACTCGATAATATTTTTAATAAAATATCCAGATTAATAACTACAGGTGCTAGAAAACTATCAGTACGATAGTTGTGGAGATAGTTAAATTTTGTTGAAATCACAAACCAATAACTGGCTGTTTAACTTATATTAGTTTGAGATCTCAAATAAACCAATGAACTTATAATAAATGAATAAAAGTTAGCAGATGAAATTTAACGCATAAGTGAACATATTTGGACTAGTACGGTGGTTGAGAGCTCAGTAAATGGTTTACCCATGAAAGCACTGTTCTTTAAACAGATTACCAGTTTTGAGACGTAACTTATGCTGTCTCATATGCATGCAGCAGTGTTGCAGTCAGTAAAATGTTTTAATTCATTGGTTGACGCCTGTAGCCTTTCTAGGGTTACTCCCGATCCCGAGCCCTGGTAAACGAGGAGGTTGGGCATGGAGTCAGAAAACCCATCACGTAGAAAACAATCTTACTTAAAAACACTGGCCAAAAATTCCTGATGGACAGCCTATGCTCTTCCACGAGGGATCAAAATCTATCGACCAAGTTACAATGTGGCGACTAGATTCCCATATAGTCTGCAGTTACACAGCATACTTTGATTTAAAATTTTCAAGTTTTATCGAGCAGCTCCACGTGATAGAATTCGTATGCAGAATTTCAATAAGACATTACGATGACCTACGTTAATCAAAATACTCTCAAACTAACAACAGGTAGTTTTGAATGCACATTACACTAGCTCCTTAAGTGATAATTTTATTTAAATAACTGAGAAGTTCAATAAAACTCAGTAACAAGTGTATTTTTCTAATGTTTAAATCATTTACTATCAATAAATCAGAAATCAAGTATAGGTGCGACCATCTACAAACCAAAACGAAAATATTCTTCGCTTACTTGATGAGCGCATACATCAGCTACAAGGTGAATTACAGTATTTTTTGGGATGCCATGAAATGAACGAAGGTTGGATAACATCAAAGCTTCGAAGACTTGCAAGTACAGCATACGTAACGAACGTTTTGTTAGTGTATGGCTGAAAATGCGGAAAACGTCATGCATTACGGTTGATTTATTCAACTTTGCAATTTCTGCCATATCTGAAACGGATATTATATTTGTCACCTGAGGTTTAAGAAAACAAAACAAGAAAAGCACATTCATCAAAAGTCAGAAAAAAATTCAGACGTTGCATAATAGAAAAACGCATAGATTGGAAAAGAAACTAAGTAATGAACAATTAAGAAAAGTACTCTTCTGAGCATGATAATAGCATAATCAATATTAAAACTTAAAAACGCAATTACACTCTACCAATTCCTGACCCTGAGTGCCTATGGGGCAAATCCTGTTTCATCGATATAACCTTAATTACCTGTCTAGCCGAAGTTTTAACTTGATTCACTGAATTAGGCAATGTAGAACCTGACACATAAGTACATCGGTGTAAGCTGTCATGCCTCATTAACACAGCAAAGCCAATAATAGTACAGATTATGAAATAATTAGTGATAAGAAAATATAAGTTTTTCCGAATGTTTGAAACTACTGACTACTAAAACATTCGCACACAGAGGAAGATCAGAAAAGAGATTTGGCTTTCTTTGTTTGATTAGAAAGCTCTATAAAAGTGAGAAAACGGTGTCTTAATGTAAACACCACCCATACCTCAACAGATTACAACCCGAGTGTTATCGTAGATAAGTTGTACCACCAACTGAACGGAAGAGAAAGCGCTATTGAAAAATTGAGTAGCGCGAGTCAGACATTTAATTGTGAAAAACAAGAGTCTACACACATAGGAGTCGACTGTTGGCTTACGGGAACTTCTTCAAGATTGAACTCCACTCTAAGCCATAATCCACAAAATACTATAAACTTTTAGATGAGAATAAGTATAGAGGAATTCTGCTTGAGATATTTACATTGCATACGCCTGTTACCCATCGTGGAGGAGCATAGGCCACCCGTCAATATTCTCCATCAAACTCTCTCATGGATAATCCTTTCCAGTTGCTACTCATCCTTATGATATCTACTTCCAATTCTCGACACAGCGCTCTTTAGTCTTTCTCATTTCCGTTAACCTTCAGGACTTCAAGTTAGAGCTCGCCTCGTGATGCAGTTTGATGGTTACCCTAATGCATCTCGTATCTACTACCGTCTTTTCGTGATTTCCTCCTCAGCTCAAAGTCGGATTGTTCTTTCCCACAGTTAGCTGTTGCTGATGGTATCCAGCCAATGGATATTGAGTATATCGCGTAGATAACTATTCATAAATACATGTGCCATTTTGATGATGGTTGTATTAGTTGTTGAAGTTTCAGCTTTGTATAGTAGAACTGTCTCGACGTTCGTATTGAAGATTGTGGCTTTGATATTGCTTGACATTTGTTGTAGGTTCCAGATATTGTTCAATTGTAGGAATGTTGCTCTTGCTTTACTGATCCTCACCATTACATCTGCATCAGATTCTCCCTGTTCGTCGACGATGATGACCTTGTCATGTGCTAAAAGTTTCCACCTGCTCCAGAGTTTGTCCATCAAATGTGATTTGTTTGATTTGTGTTCTCTGCGTTGTATTTGAGGATGTTGGATTTTACCTTGCGTATATTAGGACCTACTGATGTAGTCTTCTGCTACACAGGTTGTTTTCATCTGCATTTGTTAGTGTATATAAGATGCTGCTATACTCCGGTCACGAAGAGGAAAATGCTCCACACACTCAGGGAGTCGCTCTTATGCTGTCCAAAGTAGCACGAAATGCACTTGTAGGATGGAAATCTCACGGATCCAGAATCATCAAAGCATCATTCAAAACAAAAGGAGGGGATCTTAATGAATATTATCCAATGTTATGCACCCACCAATGATAGCAACGACGACATTAAAGATTTATTCTACGAGCGGCTGCAGTCAATCATTGAGAAATGCCCAAGAAAGGACCTAACTATTCTGATGGGAGATCTAAATGCCAAAGTCGGAATAGACAACACTGGATATGAAGATATTATGGGACGACATGGACTGGGAGAAAGAAACGAAAATGGAGAAAGATTTGCAAATCTATGTGCATTCAACAAATTGGTCATAGGAGGCACAATATTTCCACACAAGCGTATACACAAGGCTACATGGATCTCACCGGACCACACTACAGAGAACCAAATCGATCATATTTGCATCAACAAAAAATTCCGAAGGACAATGGAAGATGTGAGAACCAGGAGAGGTGCTGACGTAGCTTCAGATCACCACCTAGTTGTAGCCAATTTAAAACTGAAGCTGAAAAAGAACTGGACAAGTGGACCAACAGCACTACAAAGGTTCAATACAGCCTTCCTTCGAGATACTGACAAACTCAATGAATTCAAGCCTTACAAGATCTACTGAAATAAGAAGAAACTAGTATGGAGGACAACTGGAAAGGCATCAAGGAAGCATTAACTTCAACGTGTCAAGAGGTTCTGGGCCTAAAGAAACACCATCATAAGGAATGGATCTCTATAGAAACACTGGACAAGATCAAAGAAAGGAAGAACAAGAAGGCAGCAATTAACAACAGCCGAACACGAGCAGAGAAAGTCCAAGCACAAGCTGAATACATAGAAGCAAACAAACAAGTGAAGAACAGCATTAGAGCCGACAAGAAGAAATACGTGGAAGAACTAGCAACGACGGGGGAGAAAGCTGCTAGAGAAGGAAATATGAAATAACTATTCGATACAACGAAGAAACTAGCAGGGAAATACAGTAAACCAGAGAGGCCGGTCAAAGACAAAGAAGGCAAGCCAATCACCGAAATTCAACAACAGCCGAACAGATGGGTAGAATACTTCGAGGAACTCCTGAATAGGCCGGCTCCAATGAATCCACCGGACATCGAAGCAGCACACATAGATCTTCCTATAGATGTCAACCCACCAACGACGGAAGAAATTAGAATGGCCGTCAGACAAATCAAGAACGGGAAAGCAGCAGGACCCGACAACATACCAGCTGAAGCACTGAAATCAGACATCGAAGCAACGTAAACATGCTAACTTCTATTCAAAAAGATTTGGGAGGAGGAACAAGTGCCGATGGACTGGAAAGAAGGACACCTCGTCAAGATTCCAAAGAAAGGAGATCTGAGCAAATGTGAAAACTACAGAGGCATTACACTACTGTCAATACCAGGGAAAGTCTTCAACAGAGTGTTGCTGAACCGGATGAAGGATGCAGTAGACGCCCAACTTCGAGATCAACAAGCTGGATTCCGTAAGGATCGGTCGTGCACAGACCAAATTGCAACACTACGGATCATCGTCGAACAATCAGTTGAGTGGAACTCATCACTATACATCAACTTCATTGATTATGAAAAGGCATTCGACAGTGTAGATAGGAGGACATTATGGAAACTTCTTCGACACTACGGAGTTCCTGAGAAGATTGTCAACATTATCCGGAACTCATACGACGGACTACAGTGCAAAGTAGTGCATGGAGGACAGCTGACAGATGCATTCCAAGTAAGGACTGGAGTCAGACAAGGCTGTTTACTCTCTCCCTTCCTCTTTCTTCTGGTGGTCGACTGGATTATGAAGACCTCAACATCTGAAGGAAAACACGGAATACAATGGACAGCTCAGAATCAATTAGACGATTTGGACTTCGCAGACGACCTAGCCCTCCTATCACGTACACACGAACAGATGCAGATGAAGACAGCCAGTGTAGCAGCAGTCTCTGCATCAGTAGGCCTCAGCATACACAAAGGGAAAACCAAGGTCCTCAAATTCAAAGCGGAGAACAGCAATCCAATCACTCTTGATGGCGAAACTCTGGAAGATGTAGAGTCCTTCACATACCTGGGAAGCATCATCGATGAACAAGGAGGTTCAGATGCAGACGTAAAGGCGAGGATCGGCAAAGCAAGGGTCGCATTCCTACAATTGAAGAACATATGGAACTCAAAACAACTTTCAACCAATATCAAAGTGAGAATCTTCAATACGAACGTCAAGGCAGTTCTACTGTATGGAGCTGAAACTTGGAGAACTACAACAACCACAATCAAGAAAGTACAAGTATTTATAAATAGCTGTCTACGCAAGATACTCAACATCCACTGGCCGGATACCATCAGCAATAGCCTTCTGTGGGAGAGAACAAACCAACTTCCAGCTGAAAAGAAATTAGGAAAAGACGATGGAAATGGATAGGACATACATTACGCAAATCGTCAAACTGCATCACGAGGCAAGCCCTAACTTGGAATCCTGAAGGGAAGCGAAAAAGAGGAAGGCCAAAGAACACATTGCGTCGGATTATAGAAGCAGATATGAAAAGGATGAATTACAACTGGACGGAGATCGAAAGGATTGCCCAGGACAGGGTTGGATGGAGAATGCTGGTGAGTGGCCTATGCTCCTTCACGAGGAGTAACAGGCGTAAGTAATATGTGCCCGGTTCCCATTTTTTAGCGTCACAAGGCAAGCTCCCACATGGAAACCTCAAGGCCAAGGGAAAAGAGGAACACCAAAGAACATATTACGCCGAGACAGACATAAGAAGAATGAACAACAATTGGATGGAACTATAAAAGGAAGGCCTAGGACAGAGTGGGTTGGAGAATGCTGGTCGGCGGCCTATGCTCAATTAGGAGTAACAGGCGTAAGTAAGTAATGTGTGTCCAGATATTTTTTATTTCATACAACAAAAACAAAATGTATAATTGACTAATTACCAGTTTAACTACAATAGCGTTGCCCAAACGAACAACATCATTGTACGGTAGTAATTCCTTAGCGCGATACTCATTCACCAATTCCAAACAGCTAGTTAAACGTGAATTTAAATCATCTGTTGATTGTATTGATGCTAGAGTATTAAACACATATCCAAACACTAAAGCCTTATTAATCTCATGATCCTAAAATGCAAAAACATAGAAAATAATAATTTTAAAATTATAGATTTATCATATATAAGCAAAATAAAGAACGTCATCATTTTCCTGTAAGAATATTGCAGTAGAATCGAATACTAACAAAAGAAGTCTCGATAACTAGAAATGACCCGGACGAAACGGGATAAACGTTTTGTGTTGTTATTGTTATTCAATAACAAAGGAATATTAAGGGATACATTCTTGATAAGAAGGCAATCAAAACAAAATTCACTCAAGTATAGTATCGCTGAAAATACAATTATGGTTTTCTTGAATAATGATAATATTCACTATTAAAAGTGGATTTCATGAAAATCTTAGCAGAACATCCATTAACATAATGAGACATTAGTCTTATGATATTTAGATATGGGCATTCACATACATGTTCAAGACATATTGAACTAGCAGAAACAGACTTAATAATTACATATAGCTACTTCAGTGGGCGCAAACTCACACACTTGGCAAGGTTTGGTCAATCAGTCAGCTACAACGTAGGAACAGGCACATATATGCATCTATCCGAGTTTCAATACCTCATTAACACAACAAGATGGACACCGGATTCATAAAAGTAGTTAATTCAGAGGTGGTAATATATAAAAGAAAGATTGCAATAAGGATATAGTACAGGAAGAAAGATATGAAGCGATTTTAACCTCCTAGTTTAAGGAAAGACAGAGAGTGTATACACCGACGCCATTGTGATCGATTCTGAGCCATGTCACCAAGATTCTCCAACCATTAGTTACGAAAGTCACGCGGACCCCAACCAAGTAGTCTGCATCTACCAACATGGCTCAGATTAGAAGTTAGTGACTTCAAGCGCTGATGCCACGTTTTGGTTTGGCCGCCCCTAACTTTCTCTCAACCATCTCAAACACCGGGCATACGTAACACGTGGCCCACCCGGTCTCTCAAACCAAAGTACCGAAGGACTGGGACTTGTAACTTTTTGGATAAGGCATTAAAGATCTTCAGATAACTTTAGGTATCATAAATAACTTTATATTTAAACTCATACAGACTAACACTAAGATTTAATTATATGTGAAAATTATATTTGACTTAATCTCAGAAATTGAAGTTTAAATGATTCCAACGTTTCGTCCAGCAAACTTGAGTAAACTTCTTCAGGGTAATCAAGATCAAGATTATTTGAATTTCTGTCGCTCAGATTACTTTAAATATAATTTACACGTATAATGGCTTCTCTATATTCGGCAGACTATCCGTTCTAACATTGACGAATACCTGTATCGTAAGATTTATTCAAGATTAGTAAAAATAATAATACGTATAAAACGTACTTGAGTTTGATTGATTAAGTCCTGTAAAGAAAACCCCGAGCGGTTCAATTTTGGTAGAAACAATGAATACGCTAATGTAATGTTCGTTTTATTTAGATTCTTCAATAAATCAAGAGCGCCTACAGAAAAAGTAGTGAACATAATAACAAGCTTTTACACCATAAATGAGTATAACAGTGAATGTAGGAGTAAAGCTTAAATAGGAAATAAAAGAATTAATATATCATTAGGTTGAACAGATAAATATCAACACAAAGTCAACATAATACTTGCATAAGAAGTCAAGCAAATATGCTGAGTACATACTGTCGGAAAAGTAGCCAGAGACAGAAAATTCTCAAAGCTGATTTTCTCAGCCGCAGTTTATTGTTGTCCAGGTAGATTGGTATCTAACAAAATTGCGACAAAGATTCAACCTTAGACAACATACATCATAAATAGTGTAAGTAGGATGTCCGTGACGGGATCAGCTCTTAACGTATTACTTTACAGCTGTGAAACGTAGTCTTTGAAAAGAACAAACGCAAGCTGCAGGATTTAAATTTTGCGTAATGTGAAAAACATAGTGATCAGGGTTTGTAATTTCTCATAGATGTATCTTCTATACACATCATAAAGGTTCAATTTCCTCTTTTCATTTTTTTACTTTCTTATAAAAATATATCCCTATTGGCTTAAGGCAGGGAGTAGAACCTCCCGTACAGAAGTCATACACTACTCCTTTAAAAATTTATCTTGGAAGTTCGCACCAGTCAGTCATGTGTAAAGTGGGACCTGACACATGTGCGTCGAATCTAGTTACCGTCACAGTTTCTGATTATTACTTTAATAGCATGTCCTTAAAGATATAATTCAGTTGAAAATCCAACCCGAAATACTTCGTTTAGTTTGGTTTGTTCCTGTCAAGAGAAATGTAAGAGAGATTACGATGGGATCGCCATTGGCTTCTAATTTAAGCCGTTTCTGACAAAGTCTCAAGTCACTGAGTTGCATCATTTCATTGTACTGAATCATAAACTGTCGTAGTCTGAGTATTATCACTCAGTCAAACAATATCATTCGTATATTCAAGTTTAGAAATACTTCTTCAGTAAAATGATCCACACCACCACTCACTTCCATGAGTAACGCTTTCAGAATGTCATCGATGGCAAAGTTGTGGGGGAAATGACGAGATTAACTAATACTGCCTAACCATACTGTTGGAATGGAACAATGCAGAGAGGTGGTTGTATGCCTTCTCTGTCCCTGAGGTGTTCGTATACCGAGCCATCAAGATATTAATAAAACTCTTGGAGATACCCTTCTTAAAAAAACAATCTGAGAGAGCAATCTCATTCAACAAAACAAAGGTGACCATCATATCAAGAAGCACAATGATTATTGATGTGCAATAAGTACGGCGTTTTAACGTTTGGCACAGTGCAAATATGTAATTGTTAATTCTTCGACCAGAACGGAAACCACCTTGCCCCCACCCGTATCAGACTTTCAAGAATTTTGACCAACCCGTGTAGTATGACGGTAGCCATTCGTTTGAATGCAATCGACAGTAGACTCTGATAGCTACTGTTTAGATGACAAAGCCTTTTTCAAAGATAAGTAGGATTTTTGTTTTAGTTCAAGATGTTGGGACATTTAATTTTTTATGCTTTTTGTAACAGACCTATCACTTTCCTGATTAGAGGTTTGCTACGTTCCCAAAAAATAACCAGTGGTGAACTGTTTGGTCTCGCTAACTTATGACGTTTTACAAGATGGAGTTCCATGTGGATCTTTCTTTTGTTAGGTGGTCCATTCGTCGGTGATCACGGAGAGCAGAATAGACTAATCGATGACTATGGGGCAACAGAACAGTTGTACTGCTTTTCGAAAACTCGGCTAATCGTTTCCGACGTATTTGAACATTGCTAACTGGGGTATCATCAGCTTTAGAGATTGTTTCACTGATACCAAATTTCTTATTCTGCGTGGCTTAGAGTTGAAATAGCTTTCGGTGGATCATTGTAGTGGAAGTCGGAAGACTAGCGATGAAATATCTAAAACATGACAGTAGTCGACGAATCTGTTGACTGTTGGTTTTTAACTACACTGACTGATGCAGACTCCCTGGTAGGAGTGTGCGCGACAACCACAACCAGTGTTTAGAGACTTTCTGTGAAATGGTATGTGATAATCATGCGTACTGGTAGTTTGAATCATTTCATTGTTTTTTAAAGCCGCAAGTGATAAGTCTTCTTTGGGGTTTGTGTATCATGTGCAGATAGCGTCGACAATCTACTCAGCCAAAAGGATTCTAAGCAGAGTTGAATGGTGGCCCAGTTTTGTATACTCTGGAACTTCCTCTCAATCTAAGATACCGATATTTCTTTTACAAATAACTTTCAACTTTGTAGTTTTAAATTACTTCACGCTTATTCCTTCTCACTGTCATTGTTACATTATTTTGATTTCTTTTGATATAATTTTTGTTATCTACATCTTGACGTCCTAATATGATATGACGAATTGAGCCAATGGACATCTGTCCCAGGCTCTACGTTAATGAGGATTGACCAAATAAAAAAAACACTATGATGCTAAATTTATGAAGACAGAGAATAAATATATTATAAGAATAACATAAGATAATAATTATTTTTAAGTTATTGCTAAGTTGTAGTATACAGCATTTATACGACGGTCTACACTACAAAGTCGGGCGTGGATAACAGCTGATAGACGCATTTCAACTGACAACTAGTGTCAGATAAGGCTGCTTACTCTTTCCCTCTCTCTCTTATGGTGGTTGACTAGATTATGAAGACCCTCACATGTGAGGGGAAGCGCGGAATACAATGAAAAGCTTCGATGAAACTAGACGATTTGAACTGCCAAGATGACCCAACTCTTTCATCTTATATACACCAACAAATGCAGATGAAAACAACCTGTGTAGCAGAAGACTACATCAGTAGGTCCTAATATACGCAAGGTAAAATCCAACATCCTCAAATACAACGCAGAGAACACAAATCAAACAAATCACATTTGATGGACAAACTCTGGAGCAGGTGGAAACTTTTAGCACATGACAAGGTCATCATCGTCGACGAACAGGGAGAATCTGATGCAGATGTAATGGTGAGGATCAGTAAAGCAAGAGCAACATTCCTACAATTGAACAATATCTGGAACCTACAACAAATGTCAAGCAATATCAAAGCCACAATCTTCAATACGAACGTCGAGACAGTTCTACTATACAAAGCTGAAACTTCAACAACTAATACAACCATCATCAAAATGGCACATGTATTTATGAATAGTTATCTACGCGATATACTCAATATCCATTGGCTGGATACCATCAGCAACAGCTAACTGTGGGAAAGAACAATCCGACTTTGAGCTGAGGAGGAAATCACGAAAAGACGGTAGTAGATACGAGATGCATTAGGGTAACCATCAAACTGCATCACGAGGCGAGCTCTAACTTGAAGTCCTGAAGGTTAACGGAAATGAGAAAGACTAAAGAGCGCTGTGTCGAGAATTGGAAGTAGATATCATAAGGATGAGTAGCAACTGGAAAGGATTATCCATGAGAGAGTTTGATGGAGAATATTGACGGGTGGCCTATGCTCCTCCACGAGGGGTAATAAGCATAAGTTGTAGTGAATTAAAATGACGGCAAGTTAGTTTTAATAGCTTTACACTTTGTGATAACCAACCTTGTACGTCGCTCTCTTCAAGACAGGTTTGAAATTGATCGCCCAATTTACTGTTTGTTTTACCAGTCCGATGGAAATCTAAAGAGAGAACTTTTCTTTAGATGGATATACAGAATCAAAATTAAAATATTATCCAAGAATTAATTTTATGGATGAAATGTTCAGTAAATTACACAAGTCTGCTTATGTGATTCACGCCAATAATACACATTCAAAATTATAATGAAAACAGTGAAATTAAACAAGAATTATAAAATAGATAACTATTTCTTCTTAAGACTTTTTACGACATATGCAAATAAAGGTCTTGAAAACTACCCAACTACAATATTTGGACACGTGAATATTTGGATGTCCAAGATAGTGAATAACAGAAAATGTAAAAACTTTAGGAACATAAAGTTCAGATGTCCTGGTTATTTACTAAGGCATGAATGAGTTTGTAATATACAATTAATGCATCGTTTTACAGTCATATCTTATTTTGTAAAATCCACTTCAATTTACAAACAGAAACAGTAGCAGCGACCAATGAATGGAACAATAATTTAGAAGAATCGTTTAAAAAATAACAATATGCTAAACCTGGTGCAAAACATATCGCACACAGCAGCAGCAACAAACAGACAGCTAGTTTACTCAAGATACACAACTGATATGTCATTTTTTTACCCACTGAAATAACACTGCAGAAAGTATTTACAATGTAGGTATGTATTTTCTATAAGGTTTACTACAAAAAGATATGAATTCAAAACAGTCGTAAAAATTAACCACGAGTGCAAACACTTAGACGGATGATTCTGTCTATTAAACTGGACAAAGTTCAATACGGTTATATTTATACATATATGAACATTACAAATCACATTACTTACATAATTTACATTTATTTCTAAGCATAAATAGCTCTTTACTATCCACATTAGCTGTATGCCAGAAAGGTTCTAGTGCCTTGTAATCCTGGTAAAACAAAGACAGGTGAGGTGCAAATATAAATATTTAATGTTAGATATGGAGATGAAATAAACAATGACTTAGAAGATTTTTCTTTTAAGTGAATGGACAAACAAATCTTGGACCAATGTTAGAATACTTACCAAAACACTTGACAACTCTGATTGAAATATCCGGCAAATGACACAAAACAATGATGCAATCGACTTGACAAAACACACTTTAACACAATCTACTAAAGAGATTGGACTAGATTTCTAATGACGCTTTAAAACTACAAATCTTTGCTGCACTAATCATGATTAAAAACATCAGAAACAAATGAAGCCATTTGACAGGAAATAAGATAAACAAGTGTACACCAAACATAATGGGAGAAAAACCATGTTTTACTGAGAGCACAGGAAATACCATTTTATTTATTTATTTGAACACATGAATATTGGTACAAGAGAGCGCCAATATATATGCGCCACACAAAACAATGAGAATTCGAAGAGAAACAGAAAAAAAGCTAAGGAGCGCAAAAGAGAAAGAGAACAATAACGAAGAGATTGGTGTAAAGTAGTGTGGTAGTAACGAGGGAACGGAAAGGTACAATCAGAAGAAATCTTTCAGGTAAGGGAGACACAACCACTTTTTATGAAGAAAGTAAAAGGTTACAGCAGGATCGCCACTGGCTTCTATTCTGAGCCATATCTGATAACGTCTCTAGCCACTGTGTAGCACCATCTCTCGGACCCCAACCAGGGAGTCGTGAAGGACCAACAGAAGCCAGTCCTTTGCAGCTTTCTTTCATATCACGACACCATGTCATGCACTGACAGGAAATACCATGAAGAAACTCAAAAAGAAGAGACAATTTCATAATACTCGAAACTAAGAGATGTGCCACAGTAATTATGAACGATGAATGAAAAATTGTTAAGCTACTTGAGGATATAAGAATATACAAACAACGGACACAAATCCAATGAAAGGTTGGAAAAAGACTTGCAAAGCGTCAACGACGAGGGAAAAAGTCACAACAGGAGGAAATATGAAACAACTATATGACAAGACGAAGAAACTGACAGGGAAATACAGTAAACCAGAGCGACCGGTCAAAAATAAAAAGGAGAAGATCACCACAGAGATTCAAGAACAGAGGAACAGATGGGTAGAATACTTCGAGGAACTCTTGAGTAGACCCACCCCACTTAACTCAACGGACATCGAAGCATCACACACAGACCCTCCTATAGCTGTCACTACACCAGCGAACGAAGAAACCAGAATGGCCCGTCATCAGACAAATAAATAGTGAGAAAGCAGCACGAACTGGAAATATGCCACTTGAAGTACTGAAGTCACACATAAAGTAACTGCAAACATGCTTTGCTCTCCATTCAGGAACATTTGGGAGGAAGAGCAAGTGCCAGCGAACTGGAGATATCAGCTAATGTGAAAACTACAGAGGAATCACACTACCATCGGTATCAGGATGAGTTCTCAACAGTGTTGCTGAACCGAATGGAAAATTCAGTAGACGCTCAACTTCGAGTTCGACAAGTTGGATTCTGTGAGGACCAGTCGAGCACACGCCAAATCGCGAAACTATAGATCATTGTTGGCCAATCAATTATATGGAACGTCTCACTATAAATCACCTTCCTTGGCTATGAGAAATCAAACGACGGCGTGGGTAGGAGAACCTTATGGAACCGACTTTGACACTGTGGAGTGAGTAACTGAGGAGATCATCGACATCATACGGAATTCTTACAACGGACTACACTACAAATTCGTACATGGAAGGCCTATTTTCTCCATCAGGTGTATCGGGTTTATTTAAGAGATCAAAGTCGACAAGTTATCAGTCATACGTAGAGATTCGAATATGTCGCTTCTACTTCTATCGGAAGTTTATGATGTTCAGAACAATAAGCTTCACGAATAAACCAAACAGCTGAAAGAGCGAAACTGTAGCAAAAACAAAATTGGAGGGAACGCTTGAATTGTGTAGTATATATAACCAAAAAAGTGACTAACCAAACCACCAGCAGCAGCATAAACCGGAAATGCAGATAGATGATCATTTTGTTTTTGATACTTATGCATTATTTTGAAAATTTCCAGAGCAGCAGCTGGGCGTCCCTTTGCTAAGAGTACTTTGACAGTGTCAGTAGCAAACTCCAACGGAAAGTAATCTGTTGTTAGTAATTTTGTTGTAATCTGTAGGTTAATAAATAAAAATATGTGGAACAAATTACCAACAGTTAGATGCAATCTTGAACAGGCTATTGAATAGAGCTTGGTCGAAATATGATTAGACTGATATAATAAATTGCACAAAATCAAGACAGAGGGAGCAGAACTACATTAGTGCAGACAGAAGCTGGGCAAACAGCTGGGAGTCACACTATCTAGCAGATTTAATGCATATTGTTACATCTACAAAGACGTGAACCTGATCTACATTCATCTATCTACTCCCACACAATTCTGAATGCAGAAATTCACAAGACATTACATGTTTCCAGAAAAAATTTCACTTTAATTCGGCTTTTCAAGTTACTTTATTATCATGAGGTGAAACTTACTGTTCAGAAAGTTATTAGCTTAGAAAATGCGAACTCTGGTTTCTACAGTGTTACTCAAATTCATATAAGAATGAATTTTGTAGATCGTATGAAGCGACATCTATGGTAGTATGTTGAACAATTAATACAATTTGTGAAAATCCTTCACATTTTAGTTTGGAAAGATTTATAATTTGATAGAGTAAAATACCAAATTCAAATATATATATATAACAATAAATTGACCAAATACCTCACTGCACGTTGCATCGGTATATCCCAACGAACACACTAATCTTGTGTACAGATCCAAGAGTAAAATAGGTGAGATTTCACGGGATGCTGTTTTGTCATCTATTGAAGGGAGTACAGCGTAAGCCTCATCTAGAGTTCGTAATAAACTGTCTTTATCACCAATATCAGCGTAAGCGGACAAAAGGCCTTCATATGCAAACTTTGATGGCCACAGACCTATTTGAGATAGTAACTCCTGCGTAGAAGAAACTTCCTCAGGTAGTCTGAAAGGTTGTTTTGAAGTTTAGAGAACACAAATTAACTCAAAATAAAACCAAGGTATTTTAAAAAATTTTATTCAGTGTTCAGAACAAGTAAATGTTATTATAACTTGATGACAATATACTTGGATAGTGATTATAACTAATATCTTAGACTGGAGTGAGTTGACGTTGGAAGCTGTAGCACGGAGGTGGAAATAATTATGTGGACAAAATGTAAACGACTTAATACTAAGATATGCTTGTGGACCAACATAAAATATCACTAGAGGCGCGATGGATTGTACCAATCTAGAGGTAAGATCCGTCAAAAGACCAGCCGATGATGCAACTAAAAAATTATAGATATGCTGTATTACAAGCCATATACTGTTAGAAGTGAAGACAATAGCCAATAGTTTTATCTTTGGTAGAATAAACATAAAAAGCCAAATATGTATAGAAGGCTCGACTTGCTTTTACCAACTTGCGTCATTCATGGCGTAGGCGAGATATCTATCAACCAAAGGACGTGTTTATTGCGCAGCAGTTTGTTCCGTCCTACTTTATGGCAGTGAAACATGGCCAGTAAGAGTAGAGGATATTCGTAGGTTACTAGTATTTGATCATAGGTGTCTTCGAAACATTACTAGTATATCCTGGAGCCATCGAGTTAGTAACGCAGTTGTTAGGAAACGGGTACTAGGTAAGGATAGCAACTCGATTGATGAAGTGGTGAAACTTCATCAGTTGAGATGGCTGGGACATGTGTTACGTATGTCCAACCACCGACTGCCTCGACGTGCGATGTTTTGCTATATAGGAGTAGATTGGGAGAAAGCTAGGGTGGCCAGACCAAAACATGGCACAAGTCCATGAAGTCACTGACAAATGGACCGAGTCATATTGGTAGGTGTAGACTACCTGGTTGGGGACCGCGAGATGATAGCAACCGACGGTTAGAGATAATGAATGACATGGCTTAAAATCGTTTGCAATGGCGCAGGTGAATCGACTCTTTGTGTTCTCCCAAATTCTAATCTGAATTCTCCTTCTCTTTTTTCTCTTCCCGAATTGATTTCACTGGATTATACTCTTTAAATAACATCTCCAAACCCTAATTTTTCTGATTACAATTTTACTACATCTAGCACTACGGGATTTGAATCGATTACTGCATCTCTGTGCTGATGTGGTGTGGCAACCCGAACTGATGTACGTACGTACGAAGTTCTACGTTGTTACTGACTGACTGAATTTAAAAAAACTGGTCTGTTAGGGAGCTCTAATTACGTATTCCACTACTCCTGAATCTCAGTGATTGAGTTGCCTACCTAATTTTTGACTAGTCACTTTGGTTTACTACATTCCCCTGCTAGTTTTTCGTTGCCATATAGTTGTTTTACATTACCTCTTTTAGTTTTACTGCAGCAATTGCTAGGTCTTCTAGATATTCTCACCTGTTAGTTGTAATGCTCCTCTTTACTCGCTTAATCGTTCCGATGTATCCGGCCTGTGCCTTGGCTTCTGTTCTAGCCAGGACGTTGTTAAGTTTTTTCTATTTTTAGATTTTTACCTAAAGGGTCAATAATGACCAACTATAAACTACTGATCAGGAAGGGTACCATAGCGTTTACTTAAGTCACTCATACCAACACCCTGCTTACCATAAGATAAAATTAATGGATATTGTAAAACGACTATTTTAATCACTATCACACGTTGGCTGACTACCTAGATCCTTAAACTATAACCAGTCATATACAACGTAATACCTGTCACATACATCGGTTTGGGTTGTTACACCATGTTGCCGCAGAGGTATTAGATTATTCAGACGAATTTTAGAGTAATGAAAGCAGTGACTGTATCAGATGTCCAAAAAAATATGTAACGATAAGAGGTTTCGGGATTCTGGATTCAAGAAGGTACAGCGAACACCGAAAACAAGCAGACAGGTGATAACATAATCAGAGCAGAAAACACTATCTACATAATTTAGGGCTACTCATGACCAAATACCGTGTGAACAGTTAACACTTACCCGGCTTTCACGTAACCGTGTAAAATCTGGGAAAAAATATAACGATTGGGCTTGTATCCAGCATCTCGGAGCATACGCAAACATAAGCTGAAATTAATGTTATATATTGACAGGGTACTTTGTTTGATTCATATCTCCGACAGCACAACTTTGAGATATAAAGGAGGCGTATATCCACTAAGCAACATTACTTGATAAAATGAACCTACGGAGTTAGGCGTCAATCCAGCATCTTGCATATCTTTTAAAACCTTTTCCGGGTCATTATGAAGTCCTAATTTGACTCTCATATTTAGATATCTTTCGACCAAGTCCATATCCCCAGCTGCTTTACTATGAATATAACAAGTACTGTACCTTTTAGAATCCGACTCCAAAAACGTTCTGTAGCCTGCTCATTTTCGTCGCGGCTGTACAAAGCACCCTTAATTCTTTGTTTGCGCAGAAACCTATCTATATCAGTCAAGTCATTTTCATCAGAAACACGGAGAGCCAAATTTGGTTTGTAAGTTTTCTGGGCGCCTTCAACTGTTGAAATACATCTGGCACTTGAACACGAAACAGATTTAGTAGCATTCAAATGTCTTAAAACGATATTTTTACTGAACAGCCGGCGAACTGCCAACATCGTATATACGCCGGCCATGGCGAGACAACGCTTAATTTTGAAGTGAGAGCGTTTTTAACTCGGTTTTCCTAAATTCAAACTATTGAATGCAAAACTCAAATTTAAAATACAAAATAAGATCACTTCACGTTATTTGTTACCCATAAAAAAACTTAAAAGGTTGTGAATGCTGTAATCAACATGCTAGTGTCCAACTGTATGAGTGTCTGTTGTGAGGGTGATAGCTTAGAACTTCAAAACTACCTGAAGAAATTATCTGAATGGTCTCAAACCTGGCAGTTGCCGATAAATACTTCCAAGTGTGTTGTGATGCATATCGATCATCAAGGTACAGATACATAGATGATGAATAACACTGAGCTACCTGTCGTCCAGACATATAATGACTTAGGAGTCATCGTTAGCCAAGACTTAAAGACTACTGCACACTGCCGTGCAGTAGCCACCAAAGGTTTTAGAACCTTATGGTCAATACGTAGAGCTTTTAGTCATGTCGACGCCAAAACGTTTTTGACTTTGTATACAGTGTTCGTACGTCCCAAACTTGAGTACTGCATACAAGCGGCTAGCCCCTGCTTAAAAAAAGACAGTGAGCTTCTGGAAAAGGTTCAGAGAACGGCAACTAAGCTGATTCCCGGAATAGCGAAGCTTCCGTATGAAGCTCGACTGGCCAAGCTCAACCTCTTCTCGTTGTCATATCGCAGAACTAGAGGCGACTTGATTACAATCTCCAAATTGCTTAGTGCCAAATTTGCACCTGAAATGCCCTCATTTTTCTTGTCTTCCAAAACAGAGAATTTACGAGGACACTCCAAAAAAGTTCACAAGCCAAGAACAAATTACTTGTCAGCTGACTATCTGCTTTCCCACCGAATCATCAGCGAGTGGAATTCATTACCTCAGCACGTGGTTGAGGCACCATCCGTCGATTCTTTCAGAAGAAAGTTGGATCAACTGAGGGACCACCATTGTCAGGACTAACACAGGCCATCAAGCCTCCTGTCCTTCTCAAACTGAAACTGAAAGTAGAGCTCAGAGGGTTCTGAACCCACTGGCTGAGACCTCCCGACAATGGGCCATCGTCCTGAGGTCACGACTCACTGTCAACCCAAGATCCTTGTGAAACAAGATCACGGGTATAGGCACTTCCCCTATGTTGTACCTAATAACCTTCGTATCCCCAGAGTCTGCCTGAAGAGAGCATGTGTCTGTGTCTCCGGTTGTTACTCGTCAGATGGAGCACTTACTTACGTTCTGTCTACGACCTACTAAGAAATCCTTAAGCCATTTTAAAAAACGTCCAGCAATACCAATATTTTCTAGCTTCAATAACAGTCAATTAGTTGGCACCTTGTCAAAAGCCTTACTGAAATCGATGTAGACAACATCCACTGGGTTTCCGTTGTCTAGCGCATTTATCCGAAATTCCCTTGCTGTAAGGAGGCTTGTTGTACAAGATTAACCCTTTCTTAAAGCATGTTGTTCCATGTTTAGCAAGTTATTGGTTTCCATAAATGCTGTTATGGTCCGTTTGATTATTCTTTCCAGTATTTTAATTACAACACTGGTGAGGCTTACGGATCTGTAATTCGATGGAACTTGTCGTAGACCTGTTTTATGTATGGGAGTGACGATTGCGTCCTTCCAGTCCATAGGTAACACACCTTGGTCAAGTGACATATTGGATATCACAGTCAGTGGGGCTGCGATATATTGTGCAATATGTCTCAAGATTTTAGGGTGTAGTTCATCTGGTCCTGTTGACTTTTCCACGTTTAAAGTGCTAAGAGCCTTAAGCACATCGTCTTGATCGAAGTCCACGGTGAGCAGGTGATTTGTTGACTCCGTATTTTGGTCTGGTTCTTTCTCTAGAGGAGGTCCCTGAGTGAAAACTGAACCAAGATAGTCAGCCATAGCCTCTGCTTTTTCCTGATCCTCCTCTATCATTTCAGATTCACTTCCTTCTTTACTCGGGTTGAGGATCCAACAATGCATCCTTGTTCTGTAATTTATCCACGAGAATATTCTGTTAGACTGCTTGAGTACGGATTGTGCCAATCGCATCACATATTTTCTCTGAGCTTCCCGAATTTTAATTATACACGTGTTTCTTACCAATCTGCAGCGTTCCATCGTACCTGCTGTGCCAAGACTGGTAGCAACATTCCAACATTTCTTCTCTTGTCTTAATAAACGTCGAATATGCCGGCCTATCCAGGGATGGCCGTGCTTCTTCTTTTTGCGACTGTCCAGGGTACGCATGGTTGAGTTGCCTGATCGTATATCTGCCTGAAGTGAGTCCATGCTCCTTGTGCTGATGCCACTGAGTTGATTTTTCAGTTCTCAGCCGATGCTGAGGAGTTGATCGCCTCCATGTCTGCCTTCCATATATTAGGATGTGCGGGCTCAACTGTTTGACAGGAAAGTTCGGCCATAAATTTGAATAATATGATTGCAGGACCGCTTCTTTCTAGTGGTGGGAGGAAGGTCATTTGGCCGATGTCATCACCATGTGTGAAGAATAAATGAAGAAGAGAAGAGGAGCTTCGTAAATTATATCTTGTGGAACCTCTAAAATGTTTGAATAAACGTAATGTAATCGATGTTTGCAATCAAATGAAGTTTTCGATGACCCTACTTCTATGTTTACCTAGTTTATATACGATGCAACAAAGTTGCCTAGTATAAGGCTTTGACCCAGAAGTTAAATTTGCTAAGAAAGGAGTCATCTATTACAAATTCTGGACTGCGATATACAACAACTAATTCAGTATCTTGCCGTCTACATTTCAGCTTGCAACACAACCTGTTCATATGTCCCTGAATCATGTGACACCGTTTCAGCTGCTCGTATGGTTAAGGTACTTTTCGTGTACAGGACAAGCCCGATTCCTCCTGGGTTTGGTGTATCAGCCTTAATGGATAAAAAACCAGTCAACTGAATTTCATTATCGAACACTTCCGACGTTAACTATGTTCCTGAGACAGCAATATCTTACGATTTTTCTTTACCCAAGATTGTCTTGAGCCTCGCCACTTTATTCAGAAGGCTGCAACCTTTTTTGTGGCACATTTTTGATCCTGTAGAGAATTTTTCATTACCGCCTAGAGTGGGTTGAAGATCGTTTTCCTCCGAATGTTTACAGTTTGAAAACTCTGAGAAGTCGCTTGGGCCAGCTTAGACGGCAGCGAATTCTTGCATCTGACTACTCTAAAGGAGTAAAAGGTGTGTCTACAGTCCGTTCTGCTGAGTTGTCTACAGCTTCTGGGCGATTCCTCTTAGGTTCTTGTCGGCGCGAAACTTAAGTAGATGTTTAAAGGGATGTCCAGAAGTATTTGAGATGCTGTATGTCATTAGGTCACCTCTAAGATGCCTGTACTCTAATGGGTAAAGGTTTGGCGATTGTAGGCGTTCTTCGTAAGGTTAGAACTTGAGTCCCCGAAATAATTTCGTGGCTCGTCGTTGAATTCGTTCCAGAGTGTCCTTATCCTTTTGGAATGAAGAGAGAAAAATTATATTTCCGCACTCTAAATTGGGACAAATAAAACCGTTGAAAATTATATGGAAAGTTCTGTAAAATTATGGTCCACTATGATATTAGTACTGCCCCGATAATAGACCGAGTCCTATAATTGTAGATTTGTCAAGATATAACTGCCTAATCTATAAGATCTTACGTGGGTCACATCAGAGTGTACACCAGCTCACTATATTGTAACAATTGCCAATACATGATAGAGAACAAGCTTGGGCTAGAGACAGAACCATATATTTAGTATGAATAAGAGATATAAGGTAATATTCAGCAGGGACCACGCCTGCATGGCCGGGCGATGCCATACGATCAACTTCTATTGATTCAATTCATTGTTCCCGTCTTTTCCATCGTTAGGTATTTCTCCGCGTTAAATATTGAATATCTATTTTCCGAGTAGTCTCGTGTTCAGCTTTGAGGATTGTGTGGTTATGGTCTAATGCCACTACAGTTCTACCGTCAAACTGGCTAAAATGCGCCTCAATGTTGCTATTCCAAGGTTTGCTCGAAAAGCATTTTTGTCACAGTGCAAGACTCCAAATAGTAGGGTTCCAACACTCCTAAATATTTTTCAACTTGGGTACTTCTAGAACGGAGTCGCCTAAGTTGTAGCCGTAGTCTGCATCGTATCGGAGATGGACCACGTTACGTTTTGAAGTGTTAATAATAATAATAATAATATATTTCTGCATGAGCAGGTACACGCCATTTCTACAGGCATGATATATAAACTACAACATTTTTTGGAGCACAGCATGCTTCCCAACTTAATTAGTTTATCCTTGTTATAAAGTAGACTCGTAGAGCGCTTGCTGTAAACCTTAACCTTAAGGAGGCGCGTACACCAAGTTTTTCCCAGACGTCAGAAGTTCCATAGCTGTGCTCTCAGAGCAAGATTTTAAAGAAGAAAAAAGAGAAACAGAAGAGCAGCAAGGCACTTGGATATGAACGCAAAACGTTGCTTAACATTGTGCAGTAGAACAGACAGAGGTATAATAAGTTAGATTAAATCCACATTATCTCTTTTTAGAGTGAAATGAAGTCAGGCTCCATATTAGAGAATGTAGTAATAAAGAACAATGAGTTGTGATGTTTAATAAGTTCGATTAAGCTCACATGAAGGAAGGGAAGTCAAGGTTGGTACAATCAAAGCGGTTTATTAGAAGCGAGTGTGCACATAGAGGTTGAAGTGTTAAGAATTCTAACGACTTTATCTTTTATTGCCTAACTTTTTCTTTCTCTTTTTTGTCCATCCGACGTCAGCCACACAATCCTAGTGTAAAGTCCGAGTGAGCATGTTATAGGTTGTCTTAGTAGAATTGCTAATCCAGCATAAAATTGGAAACATGAGTCTGAGTGGTGAGCGTAGGAAGACAATCTATATCACGGATTGATTGACTCGTTCCCAATCATAAAGAGCCTGATATATACAAAATATTCTGCTCCACAAACACGGGTGGATTGAAATCATCGCCCTCATCA